TACTTCTGTTTTGCCATCATTGAAAACCAGTAAATTGGCATCAAGCCATTGACTCAACTGACTAATACATTCCTGGATATATGGTATTACATCTGATGGCCCGTCACAAACAATATAAATTTGTGGGTCGTCTGCATAGAGCATTAGGTTGAAACCGTACATAGAGACAATGTCCTCAATAAGTGACGTGTAAAGAGTGAACAGGATGGGGCCGAGTACATGCAGAGCCTTGTGGTACGCCACAAGCTAGTTGTGTTGACGGTGATTTGTATGTGCCTATTGAGGCTGGTTGTTCGCGCTCAGTCAGGAATGATTTGAACCATGTCAATGCAATACCATCTATACCGAAACGATTTTTCAAAGGCTGCGGACAAAGGCTGCCGACAAATCAAGTAGTAATAGGACCACTTGTTTCTGATCATTAAATGCCTATAGAATATCGTTGTGTACCTTGAGCAGCGCCGTTTCAGTGCTGTAAGCTCTATAAGCCGATTGAACTTTTGCAAAATGTGGATGAGTATACAGATAGTCACTTAGCTGTGTCGCTACCAGATGCTTCAGTACTTTTGAGAGAAATGAGAGGTTTGAGATGGGACGGTAGCTTTGCAAGTCATTAGGGTCTGGATTGCCTATGGCCTTTTTTATGAGTGGCCTGATTATAGCATTCTTGAAGCATCTAGGAACTACACCCCTTGAAGGGATGTGTTGAAAAACTTAGTAATGGAAGGTAGTAATTCTTCTATGCATTCCTTTGTGAGGTTAAATGGGAGGATGTCCAGTTCTAAAGATTTTGGCTTAGAGCCATTTATCAGCTTTTTTATTAGTTCGAGTGTAGCGGTGGTGAATTCTCTGAAAAAGCTGGGAGATGTAGAAGGATCAGCCTCTTGAAGAACTGAGTTGTTAATCCCGCTTTCAAATGATTTTCTACGTTTTTCTACTTTGTAGTTAAAAACTCCAGGAACACAGAGCAAAGTTGTTCATCAGAGTAAAGTGTTGGTTTAATATTTGTTGCTGATATTTTAAAGCCGGTAAACTCCTCAACAATCATAAAAATACTTTTGGTATATATCCGAGTTGTCTATGCGTTTTTTGTCGTAGTCAGATATCTGTTGATCATCACGGCGACAGATCTCTTGACGTTTGCCTTAGTGAATAAGACGATGGACTTCCAGACCAGTATTGTTCCATTTACGCTCACATTTGGTGTTGTGATATGAATGCAGAAGATTGTCCACATCTTCTGAAGTAGTGTTCTAATTGCATTGGTATCGGGTGGGAAGGAGTTAAAGGCAGACTGAAGCTTTGCTTTAAGAACATCAGAGTCAATTTCCTTCAGATTTCTACGTGAAGTTGTAGTTTTGACCGGAGGAAGACGAACCACAGTCAGACAGAATTCTGTGAGACTGTGGCCTGAATTCAAGTAGTCTGTTGAGTCAGTTATCTGATGCGCGAGTTACCAGTAAGTCAAGAGTGTGCCCTGTTTGGTGAGTTGGGAAGTTGATGTGCTGTACATGTTGAAGATCTCTAGAAAATATAATTCCATTCAAAAGTGAGGAATCACGGGGATGAGAGTTATCAACGTGAGTATTGAAATCCCCGGCAATTATGAGATGGCCTGTTTTTGGGACGATCTTTTCCAATAGGGTTGCAAATTCACTGAAGAGGTCCGAGATCGGGTTGCTTGGAGGACGGTAGATAAGAAGAAATTGTAGAGTTTCACTTTTTGACGTAAAAAAATTCTTAAGATTCTTTTGATTTCATGAATGTTTTTCTTTCTTAACCCTTGGACATAATTAGAGAAGGACATGAAACGCGGGGCAAGATCAAAGGATAATCGGCTTAACGCGAGCTCATCGCGAAATCATGTGCGTTCGGATCACGTGACCTCCCGTACAGTTAGCTAGCATATCGCAGTTGTCGATGACTTTTTTGTATCATTTGGGCAGGTAGTTCGCGATAACGCGAGTCAATCCTTCGGATGGATGAGACAATAAACTTACAGAGATTAAGTGCACTGTATAAGTACAATTTGTTTTATCAATTTGGAAGCTATGTGAGAATTTGTTTGTTCATGGAGGAATTCAAAATGCAGTATGTGGTAAAGGCAATCCTGTTTGTTGCCGTAAAATGAGCATTCAAAATTGTACAATTGTAGTGTAGTATACTTGTTTTTAGCTATGATCCGATTGGAAAATATTTCTAGTGTCCAAATTTTCTCTCTATGTGAGAAATTAGCCTGAGATGCAGCAATAATGAAACCTTCAATGGTGTCTTGAATAAAAATGATGCAATTTCTCTCCGATTTCTTAGACTTCTTAGGCTCGCTGACATTTCTTTTAGGCTGGTATTATTTTATGCATCCTTTAAATAATGATGAAATCAACAATGCTGTATACTTTATGTATATATCCGTACTACTTGCTAAAATATGCGCATTTTTTGGGATAATAATTTAAATATTTTACTGTCAATATCGGCTCTCGTTGCAGTATGGCACCACACGCATTTATGACACACAAAAATGCACCTGTAATTCCTTTTAATATTCCTTTATCAAAGTTGACATCAACACTTTCTTGAACTGTATATATGTGTTCATTTTACTGGCCAACGTCTTCTCGAATTTAGGGATGCTAATTAATATTTTTTTTATCCTCAATATCGGTTCTCGTTGCAATATGGCAAAACACATGCATTTGTGACACACAAAAATGCACCCAGGGTGCTTTTAAGGCTTCGTTCACATGGAATGTCTATTTTCTAAAAATCTATTTTCTATTCGCGCTATCTTATGATCACGGTCTGTGCCCTTAATATCCCGCCTCGTAATTACTGGCAGCGCGAGCCAGTTACTTATAGTAACTTATAGTAACTGGCTCACGCTGCCAGTAATTACGCCGCGGGATATTCAGGGCAGAGACCGTGATCATAAGACATACCGCGAATAGAAAATAGAATTTAGAAAATAGACATTGCATGTGAATGAAGCCTAATATCCTTTTATCAAAGTTGACATCAACACTTTTATGATATATATGTATGTATGTATATATATATGTTCATTTTACCGGCTATTGTCTGCTCGAATTTGGGGATGTTAATTGATAATTTGTTTACTCTCAATATCGGCTTTCGTTGGAAAATGGCACCACACATGAATCGGCCGATACATTGCTTTAAAACCAGTTATATATCGGCTCAACATATATCAATACAATCTTGGAAATGATAACAAGTATAGACAAACGTCAGAGCCCGTTTTAATGAGATAACAGGAAAAGATACTGAAAACCCGAAACAAATTTCCACGTGTTGACGCAATTAATCCTATGTCCTAGCAACTGCAAGATGGCGGCAATGCTGTATCATAGCAACCACGAGGGACCGCGAGAAATTGCGTTATCCATGCAATAGAACAAAAGAATCCACTGAGGCACAGCGCGCGCTACCTTGATAATAAACTGTTGAGATAAATTGGATGGGCTAAAATAGCTTCTCTTCCACCTCTCTTTCCAGTCTGACATTCATGATGGAAGGAATACCCGTGTAAACTTGATGTAATCTCTGAGATTATTGGGTCTTCTTTAGATCTGATCCAAGTTTCTGTCAGGAGAAAAAATGTCCAAGTTTTCTTCATAGATGTGGGATGCCAAGCTGACTATTTTTTTTCCGAAAGGGATCTAGCGTTCCATAGAGCACATTTGAGCTTCAGCTTTTTAAAAAGAGACTATGTCCTTTTAATGTGTATTACATTTGCAGATTTAGGTCCAGTTTGTTTTACCAGTTGAAACAGTGGCTTTGACTTTGACTTAACAATTGTTATGGTTCTTCTGTGGTTCACTCCATCATGTGATCCCATTACTTGCCTGTTGATGTTTAGATTCTTAATTATAGTCCAAGTGTAGGCTGACAGACAATACTTCCTCCTGGCATTTATGTCAATTGGGAAGTTCCTTGTGTGGGCCCATGTGTTGTGAGCTGTACTTGTGAATGCCCCAAGGTTCATTTTCTTGGATGAACAGAATCCTACTTGGTCAAATAGCTGGTATTAGCTGTGTTAATAATGCATACAGAGGACTATGCCGGCTAAAGATTTGGTTACAATCCTTAGATAGGACAGCAACTGTCCACATATCACCAAACCAGTGTCCAAACTTCTGTAATTTTGCAATCAAAGGACTCCTGAACCATTTAAAAAGTGTTGTGTAAAAAATTGAGTGTCAATAAAACTCCTCCCAGTTACAAAAATCACAAACTAGGAGAGCCACAAACAGCCCGGGCAGCTCAGTCAGTGGCGCCCCCAATAAACGTCATAAGTGGCCGTCCACTAATTATCAATATTGTTCGTCCTGATTGCAGCACATTTCCTACTCGCTATTAGCGCGCACGCCTTTTTGAATGCTCTTTCAAACCTTTCCTTAGTCAGCCAAGAATGAAATCACATTTATCTGCCGACAAACTACGCCGTTGACGTATTCTTAGGAATTATTGTACAGTGGGTCAATATCTCTATTTTTTTCGTTTTGCATATTACTAGAATTTAGCTGACGCTTCAAAAACTAAATTTTATAGATAATTTTTACATGCACATCTCGGGGTAATTATACGGCAATAACTAGTACGGCACCTCCGTCGTTTGCATTTGTAGACGAAGTATGTGCTTCCTACTGGTACTGATATACAACTGTACCAGACACATTGCAGGAGAATAGACTTATGTGTATATTTAATGGATGTTCTAGAAAACATTTGTGGATCGTGATATTCTGTGGGGTGATACTATCGATGGTATTCCTGTATTAAATCATCCGCTGCTACCTGCTACCCCCTACTGTAATATAGCATAAGATATGGCCTTAGAAATAAAGTAAGACAGACATACACTCTAATAATTTCTAGTCTTTTAATAATCTTAATACCGTTTCCTGTCACTCATTCATTCTAGAACTCTCCAAGCCATCGACAAGTTATTTTGCACCTTCTTTACTTTCCAGATTTTTTACCAGGGTTTTCAGGTCAAAGTGAAATCAAGAACATTACTTTTACAATGGCAAACTTTTTGCAATCCCGTCTACCCCATTTCGGCGTGACACGTGTTTTGACCGTATTATTCCTCACCCTGGCACTACCCGTACTTGTGGATGGTCTGTGCTCCCAACGACCAGGTCAGAAACAGGACCAGTGCTGCCCGGGGGAGGACTGGGAGTGTGTATACGGGACTGGCTCTGACTCTTGTTTCTGTGATGAAGTATGCTATCTCTATGGCACCTGTTGTTCAGATTACCAGGAGTATTGCCTAGGGGACACCAGCACTCAGACAGGTAAATAGGGGGATTAGTTTTATTAATCATATTCAGGGGCGGATTTAGGGCGTCTTCTGGGTCTTCCGGAAGACGGTCAGATTTTCAACTTTACGTTGATGGGTATCTAATTTTTTCTGTCGGAAGACGGTCAAAAATGGAGGATGGACCAAGAAAGATAAATTGGAAGACTGTCAGAAAATGACCCTGGATCCGCCCCTGATATTTACAGTAGAAATAATAATTATGTTTCCGTTGTACGACATTTTAAAAGCGTCAGAATGTTTTAATCCCTATCCTGTGAATAGAAGGGGGCGGACAAACAATGGAAAGCCGTCTAATCCCTTCAAAATTCGAACGCAAAAACACAATAGTTTAGGCGTAATAACACACAATACCTTAGGCGAGTGAACCCCATGACGCCTGTTTCTGTGGTCCAGCGCGAGCGCGACAATCCGCTGTGACTAGGTGTAATGAACAGCAGGATACATCAGCCAGAAGGTGCCCATTGTTTGTTGCGGCGATAGGATTATAGCTTTAAGATGCTAGAACCCATGCTAACGCGTGCCACTCCCGTGGCCACCTATCCTTATGTTCACTAGCTTGGCAAGCGCAGCTGATCATGTTTTAAGTGTTGCAAGATAACTGCTAGTTTAATTTAGTATCAGTTATTTAATTCAATATGAAGTGTTCTGTGGTCAAAAATTGAATTTGATAAACATGCATCAGCATCGTACATCAGCATGATCAACAAATCACCCCGTCTCAAAAAGTTTAAAGATGCTCCGTACACAAATTTTCATCATCGCGACCTGTGTAAAAATAGATTACTGTTTAGAAATAACAAAGAAAGAAACATTATTAAAACAATTTATTCACATTACAAGCTGACGTGTTGCCTCAATTACTACAGACTTGACATTTAATATGGAATATTTTTTTCCAAATCATTTTTCATCAGTTTTTACCTATTTTGCTGACTGATAAATGAAAATAAGGAATAAAATCGTGCTCTAATAACTTTTAATTATCTCTTTGATGTCATTGTGACATCAGTTCATTAATGGAATTCGCCAGAGAAGCAAACAAAAACACATTGCCTTTTCTACTTCATACGACAACCATTAAAAGAGGTATTTTGGATCTCCATATTTTCCAAATTATTGTCTGTAAAAGAGTTACACGCTCCACAAAGGACCCTCATGTCAGTGTCTAGTCACAGTAACAGTTGCTGTTACGTCTGACCTCTTCTGGCTGCTACCAGCGCTCTCAAGTGGCAAGGCATTCCTTGGGATAGGTTTTTAAAGTTCAATCTGGAATAAGATTCCAGGGATAGGTCAAAATCTGTCCAATTTGGTCCAGTTTTGTTGTAGGACATGTAGGCCATTCATTTGGCGAGTGATGGCCTACCCACATATTGTCTATGTGGTTCAAATATGGCGGTTTTGATGACCAAGGTAGCTGTTCATTCCCTTGGTTCTCTAAGTAATCTGCTATTAAAAGTGCTCTGTGTGAACCGGCAATCTCACCGTACAACCTAAAATTGTTCTTAGGGTGCCCCCTATCAAATGATAGTCAAGTGGTTCCCAGATTATTCCTTTATTTAATCTGGTTCAGGTTTTTGTCGATGACTCCCATTGGTGTTTTGGCACCAATGTGGTATCCACTTCAAATACTGACGCTGTTAATGACCTAAGTCACTTTAGACGCGGCACACACTTCGTCGTTGGCCTCTTCTGGATGTCTGTAAACTCTGTTTTGATAAGTTGAGCGGTACAGGTGAAATCTGACCTCAATAAAGAAAGCCACGAGGTTTCATTGTTCATCCCAGAAACGGTCAGGGTCCCCAATTCATTAGAGAAACATACAACATTCCTCGGTCGTCTGGTATTCTAACCTGCTAAAACCAGTTTGGTGTTCGCTAAGGGCCTTGAAAAATGCGTTTTGGTGGCAATTTACCCCTCATTCTGAACGGACTGGGTGGTTTTTGTTTAGTTGCAACACCATATCCTGAAAGACAGTGGGTCTTGTACTCTGGTGGTAAGATTTTAATACATTGGGTGTGGCCAGGGCATTACACTATAAAACTATTTATTCATGAAACGTATTTCTTCACACATATACAGTATATAAACGTGACAATTCGCTATTCAGGCTTTATATGCTCTCCTTCTGAAAACCACAATAGGAAATATAGCTAACAACAATGTAAATTATTAAGAAGAAGATATAATGAATATCATTTTACAATTTCCAGGCGGCCAGTGTATAATCAGAGGGGACCCCCATTTTAAACAATTCGATGGGCATCAGTACCATTTCAGCGGACTCTGCACATATATACTGTCAGATACCCTGCCAGGAGCAGACGAGCAATTCAACATAACCGGTACATTTATCCCTAATAAACCTGGGAGTAACAGGACCATGATCCAGCAGGTTTTGATAGCAGTGCGCGGTATGGCCATTCAGATAACTACAGACGGAACAGTGAAGGTGTGTTTGAATGAGTTTAACCAATTGTTGTCAGTAAAACCACCAGGATAACACACGCAAGCCATAGAAAAGTACAAATTAATGCATATGACGAAATAATACATGTATGCTAAAACTGTCCCCTTGTAAGTGTAAAACAGACTTCATCAAACCATTTTCTCAAGTGTCAACATATCAGCCATAAAAATATAACAACATAGGTTGTCAGTAACATCACTGAATCTTTGATCACGACCTGATAAGTCAATTAATCCTCACTTAGTGTCTTTACACTCCAGGTTAACAATGCAACAATTGTTGCAACAACGACCCCACAAGACGTAGGCAATGGTGTTATGTTGTCTTTGAACCCAGAAGACTTCCCAAGGACTGTTGTGGAGGTGCCTGATGTTGTGAAAGTTGCACTCACCACCCCTGTTGGCGAATCAAGACGTAGAGGACATAGAGCCATCATAACCGTTCCAAGTAAATTGGCAAATATGCAGGCGCTCATATAAAATCATTAACAAGGACAAAGAGAGAGGGGAGGGGGCAAAGATAATATGTAAAAAACGGAACAGTTAAAACATTGATATCCAGTGATTGATTGGTGGTTAAATGTCCACAAAATCCCGCCAGATAAAAAAGTAATATTTTTCAAAACGTTTAACTAATTAAGACAATTTTTTAAATGACACGAGGACTTATTTGTGGGCCTCATAAGAAGCAAATGTGTTCGATTTGTTTAAGTTGCCCAAAACTTTGGTAATTCCTTTACAAAGCTACTCATCTGTCCAAAGTCTTTTTCTCCATCCATTGCATTCAGATGACTTAAGGACTCCATTTTCATGACGGACATGACCAGACAGACATGAGGGAATAAACACAAAAGGATGGCCATTGTTTATGTTAATATTGTAAAACTATCTAACTACGTCAAATGTTGTTCAGTAGCATTTAAAATGTTTTTCTTTACAACAGATGCATATGCTGGTCAACTAAATGGGCTGTGTGGAGATTTCGATGGTGATTCTACTGACTATGCTAACCCCTGTTCTGGAGGCCCTCCTGCACATTGCTTTGTGAATGGCGGCAGGTAAGATATTACTGTTCTACCGCATTGTATTTGACTGCTAAATGTTAAAGTTACTTATGGAGAAAATATTTGCCACAATACCCGACCACATACCCTCATGTAGTTTCAAATAGCATGAATTAAAGAAGTAACAAAGGGAATCTTGTCATATTTCAGATACTTTCTGTTTTCATTGTGTGCTTTATAAAAGCCTTGGTCATTCTGTCTCTTGTTTAAATCTTTACTACTGTGTGCACAGCAGTTATGCGCCATACTTTACTACGTCATTTGGCAAATTTTTAAGAGACCAAGAATGATTGATATATGTATCTAGCTTCCGACCAGAAAGTGCTAAAATTGGTCCTTCTTTTGCGATGCCAATCTTTATTTGAGTGATGCATTGAATGATCTATTTGATTGATCTTTTGCGTGCACAGCATACTTTTTTCTCTACATTGCCTTGCAATCCCTCTGTTCACCTGTGGATTCATTTTGAACCACTAACATACTCAGCTGCAAAGACTGGGTACCTTACTTTGGTCAGAGATATCAAATTCACTGGCGTACGTTAGTTCTCATGTGTCCTTAGGTTTTTTTTTAGAGAAGCAATCTTGGAGTCAACAGTGATTACATTATGATTTGAAAAAAAAAAAAATAAATAAATAAATAAGTATCATCACCAGGCTGGTACTTGCACACTGATTATAGAAGTATTCATGTTTCCTTCAAAACTAGCTACGGTCTGTATCATATTATGATATGTAGAATGCGTATATATATATATATATATATATATATATATATATATATATATATATATATATATATATATATATATATATTTTTTTTTTTTTTTTTTTAAGTTGCTGAGCTCAGAAGGAGAAGAGACTATAAACATCATCAAACAGCATAGTAAAGTAAAGCCAAGAACAAAGGAACGGTTTACAGTCAAGATAAACTGCATGTTGAGGATTCTTGATCAAATTGGGTTTTATCTTATTGTCTTTTAATTAATTGTATTCTATCTGCATTTAATCTATTTAATTGGGTATCATACATTTTTGTCTGTAAGTTAAAATAATCAGTTTATAAGGACACTCAATTGCAGGTCTATATTTACAATTTAAAATGACAGATAAAAATTATTGTTTTTTGCAAAATGTCAGACAAAGCGCTTTCAACTAAATTGTTATAACTGGTAATCTAAACAAAAACCGGGACTTTCAGATAACGTGCTGCGTATATTTTTACTGTATGTTTATCATACATTTACTTACCGAAAGTACTGATATATCTTTGAATGGAACTTTACAACAAACTAATGTGGTTATCATGCATTTCCTTTTACCTGTCATTGTTTTTTCACCAAGGTGATGAGGAATTGTCTCGTATGTTTACACTCCAATGAAATGAAAAAAAATGTAACTAATTCAAAATAAACTACTTGCAAAGTCATTTTGAAAAACTAGTGATGATACTTTAGAATATTTGTGCAAATACACTCTTGCCCAAAATGGTTGGTACACGGAAATTTTGGGAGGCGTATCGCCCTGTTTCTTTCATTATTATTGATATTATCAAATTAATACTGTTTATATTGTTAAATATGTGAAGCTGGAGGATTGGTAAAGTCAAGGAGAAACAAACAATGCAAATGTGAAAAAAGCGTAAATTTATTTAGGGTATTTTTTCTCATGCCCCCAAAAAGAGTACTTTTTTTGCATAACAGTACCAAGTGAAAAATTAAACATAAATTTATACTGTGATTGACAATTAATATGAAATTAGGGGGGATTGTCAAGAATCATCTTCAGAGTTCATTATTAATCTAAATAGCGGGCATGCCCACCCCGAGCTTGGATACTGGCCGCCAGACGGCGTGGCATACTGTGAACTAGAGTTACAGCTCTTTGGAGAGGAATTCTGGTCCATTCATTTTGAAGGGGAACTCGCAGTTCATCTAGATTTGCAGGGGGAAGGTTTCTCCTCTGAATAGCACGACCAAGTTCGTCCCACATGTGCTCAATTGAGTTTGCATCTGGGCTTCTTGCTGGCTGTGGCATCAGCTGAATGTTGTTTTGTAGGATAAAGTCTGCAATTAAGCGGACTGTTTGAGGAGTTGGATTGTCGTGTTGCAATCTTAACTTGTCTCTGTATATCCGTCTTGTGAACGGCTCCAGGTTCTGCTGGAGAATGTCTCTGTATCTGGCAGCGTTAAGGTTTTCGTCCAGGGGAAGCAATGGGCATATACCGTTGCTGCGAATGGCACCCCATACATGTACAGAACCACCTCCTCCAGCTATTGTTTCCTGGATATTTCCATTTAACAGCCTCTCCCCAGGGAGCCTACGTACTCTCATAGCTGGAGGAGGTGGTTCTGTATATGTTTGGGGTGCCATTTGCAGCAACGGTATTTGCCCATTGCTTCCTCTGGATGAAAACCTTAACGCTGCCAGATACAGAGACATTCTCCAGCAGTACCTGGAGCCGTTCGCAAGAGGAATATACAGAGACAAGTTTTGATTGCAACATGACAATCCAACTCCCCAAACAGACCGCTCAATTGCTGACTATATTCGAAAAAACAACATTCAGCCGATGCCACAGCCAGCAAGAAGCCCAGGTGCAAACCCAATTGAGCACATGTGGGACGAACTTGGTCGTGCCATTCAGAGGAGAAACGTGCCCCCTGCAAATCTAGATGAACTGCGAGATGCCCTGCAAGATGAATGGACCAGAATTCCTCTTCAAAGAGCTGTAACTCTAGTTCACAGTATGCCACGCCGTCTGGCGGCCATAATCCAAGCTCGGGGTGGGCATGCCCGCTATTTAGATTAATAATGAACTCTGAAGATGTTTCTTGACAATTTCCCCTAATTTCATATTAATTGTCAATCACAGTATACATTTATGTTTAATTTTTCACTTGGTACTGTTATGCAAAAAAAGTACTCTTTTTGGGGGCATGAGAAAAAATACCCTAAATAAATTAACGCTTTTTTCACATTTGCATTGTTTGTTTCTCCTTGACTTTACCAATCCTCCAGCTTCACATATTTAACAATATAAACAGTATTAATTTGATAATAACAATAATAATGAAAGAAACAGGGCAATATGCCTCCCAAAATTTCCGTGTACCAACCATTTTGGGCAAGAGTGTAGAATCACTGCATCTTATTGTGTGGCTAGAGGTACAGTACAGGTAAAAAAGACAGGAATGAGATATAAATTAATTGGGCCTCTTTACTTTTATTATGCGTTTTGGGGTATTTCTATTTCATTGTAGTAATCTAATTGGATATTGTGCAAACATCATGTTAATTGGAGTTCTTCTTCACTTTTATTCTGTTTTGGGGTGTTTAAATGTACCTGTAGTAATCTGAAAGTAATTGTTAAAATTTCATGATAATTGGGGGTTATTTTTTCCCTTTTAATTGTGTATTTTGGTATATTTCAATATAGCTTTCTGGGAGGATATCATCAATATTTAATGTTCATTGGGGGTTCTTTCCATTTTAATTGTGTTCTTTGGGATATTTAAGTGTAGAAAATCTGGGAAGATACTGTGAAAAGGTGGAAATAAAAATGGTGATGAAATAGTTTAGTTTTGTTTCCTTTTAGCGTTATCATTTGGATAATACAGAGAAGTCCAGTCACCACTCCCACAGGCCCAACAGTCGAAGCTTGCAATGTTCTTTCCTGTAAACTTTTATCGTGGAAACGAATCCTTTAGGCCGATCACAAGAGAAGCAAAATGAGCCTCTTTGCTACTTCTGAGATATTGAGCATTTTTCAATATGGTCGTCAATTTATGAGGAAAAATAGAAAAACGACCAGAAGTCACAAGATATACTTTATTTAGAGCTTCTTTGGATGTTTATTCTATCAGAAGGGCATAGCACTTCTAGTGTTTACACTTAAGCGCGTAACTTTTAGCAAAAATTCAAAATGTCCGTCAAAACATATTGCTTCCTTAACTAAAATCTAAGCAATATCTACAATACAATACTATATATGATGTGACTTTGGTTCAGGTCAACCGAGGTCCATATAATTATTTAAGCCAATGTCTGGAGCAAATAACATATCCACAAATAATAAATATCACCAATTCATTTATCATATACTTGCATTCTTAATGTCAATATCGTCCAAGGTGATATCACAAGTTGCAAAATTTTCCTTTTCGCTAGATGGTCAAAAATCACAATAACAAACACGAAATCCACCTGGACAACAAGAAGACCAAAAATACTTCCTTGGCAATTTACCTGCATCGTCCATCGTTAGGAAAATAAAATTACACGGGAAACTTTGTTTACAAATTTTTTGGAATGACTGAGGAATGAACAGTACCAATGAATGAACAGTGGGGCCTACGCGTTCTGACAACATTTTATTTGTCATGGGCGTAACCCATGGGCGTAGCCCAAATAAAGGGCACAGATACACTTATAATCTTAAATTGGTGAGTAATACTCAGAATAAAAATAAAACTAAAATCACAAAAATAACATAGAATATTCTTGCTGAAAGAAAATATGTTACTATGTCTTATAATGGGTTATAATGAGGATCTAGAAATGTAAAGCTCAACTATTTTGGGACATTGCACTGCTATCTGAATACATATACTAACATGCATTGTATATCTGTATATAGTTTAATTTCAATTAAACAAAACACAGAAATATAACAAAATAAGAGCTAAAAGTCCCTTTTTATATATATCGCTTTCAGACTTTTGTATGTGTAACAAAAAATATCGCTAATTTGTGAGTCGATCATTGTTGAGAAGCCTGCAGTGCACATAAAATATGAAAATGGTTTACTCTCATCCAATTTGCCGTAAACAGGTAAAGAATGCCAGAACACATACTGACACATACAGACAAAAAAGCTCCTCATCTGTGAATCCTGGAAAAATGAAAAATAAAGAAGCTGATATTGATTGTAATGAAATGTATAACGATAAAGAAAGGAGCTAATTGACAGATATTATTTTCCGACAGATTTTACCCAAAAATACATTGTGCATGTATTAGCTAATGAATGTAGGCTACAGACTTGACATTTAATATGGAATATTTTTTTCCAAATCATTTTTCATTAGTTTTTTTCCTATTTTGCTGACTGATAAATGGAAATAAGGATTAAAATCTTGTTTTAATAACTTTTAGTTATCTCTTAGATGTCATTGAGACATCATTTCATTAATTGAATTCGCCAGTGAAGCAAACAAAAATATATTGCCTATTCTATGTCATACGACAGCCATTAAAAACTATATTTTGGAACTCCATATTTTCCTAATTATCGTCTGTAAAAGAGTTACACGCTCCACAAAAGACCCTCATGTCAGTGTCTAGTCACAACAACGGTTGCTGTTACGACTGACCTCTTCTGGTTGCTACCAGGGCTCTGAAGCGGCAAGACGTTTCTTGGGATGGGTTCTTTTAGAGTTCAATCTGAAATAACATACCAGGCATCAGTCAAAATTTGTCCAATTTGGTCCAGTTTTGATGTAGGACATGTATGCCGTTGATTCGGCGAGTAATGCCCTACCAACATATTGTCAATGTGGTTCAAATATGGCGATTTTGATGACCAATGTAGCTGCTCATTCCGTTCGTTCTGTGAGTTATCTGGTATTAAAAGTGCTCTGTGTGAACCGACAATCTCACCATGCAAACTAAAATTGTTACTAAGGTGCCCCCTATCAAATGATAGTCAAATGGTTCCCAGATTATTCCTTCCTTTGATCTGGTTCAGGTTTTTATCGATGACCACCATTGGTGTTTTGGTACCAATGTGGTCATCGATAAATACTGACGCCGTCAATGGCCCTTGTTACTTCAGACGCGGCACACGCTTCGTCGCGCGTATACCTCTTCTGGATGTCTGTAAATTCTGTTTTGACTAGTTGAGCGGTAGGTGAAATCTGACCTCAATAAAGAAAGCCACGCGGTTTCAGTGTTCTTATCCAGAAACGGTAATGGTCTCCAATTCATTAGAGGAACAGACGACGATGGTTTGCTGTTTACTGTTGATTCCTCGGAGGCCGTCTAGTATTCTAACCTGCTAAGACCAGTTTGGTGTTCGCGAAGGGCCTTTAAAAATGCGTTTTGGCGGCATTTTACCCGTCATTCTGAACGGACTGGGTGGTTTTTGTTAAGTTGCAGTAGAAGATCCCGAAAGACATTGAGTACTGTACCCTGGTAATAAGATTTCGATACACTGGGTTAGACCTCAGTCCAGGTACATTAGTCTGGGCATTCCTCTATCAAACTGTGCGGGGAGTTCCGTTTGGCACAATTATCTGTCTAACAATGTCAGTCTTTTTCGCGCCATTCTGCCACAGATTAAAAATTATGTAATACACTGCTTGGCTCATTTTACGCT